GCCAGCACCTCCTTGAATTGTTCGGTCGTGATCCCAACCCTCTGAATGAGGGCCTCAGCCTCCCCGGTGGTGATGGGGGGGGTGCCGACCTCCGGTGGCGCTGTTCTCCCCCTGTTGGGGAACTCCGGTACCTACGTTGGCGTTGCTACGTGTTTGCACCATCGTCGTTGTGGAGGATTTCTTCCGAGTATGATTCTCGAACTCTCAACGAGAGCACCAATTTGATGGACAATAAATCCACCAAATGATCCGATTTACAGAGCGGATCGCAAGAACAAAATTAAAAACAAGAATTCGAGAATTGGATGTGTATTACTAGCTTGATTTAGCCTAAGTTCTCCCCTTTCGGGTCCCTTCTATTTATACACGAGCTCTCAACAATTAAGGTGAAGCGTAACCGATGGAGTTTAGCCCGTCCAAGGGCGCGATCCCCTTTTTCCGGCTCCGTAACGGCCAATCAGCTCCGTCTCCTTCTCCGGACTGACTCTGCCAGCTGCGCTTGCCCTGAGGTTAACTAGGCCCAGCTCCTCGGGCCGGCCCAGCTTGAGTATTCCACAGGTGCTTGACCCGAAGCTGTTTAAATGGTTCATTTGGGCCGTCTTCTGGATATCGGCCCATCAAAAACATGGAAGTCCTATTTTAGTATATTTGTAGATGCTTGGAGGACCAGGAGATGAGATTGTCACCGAGGAAGATGCAATATCCAGACGTGGACCGGCGAGTGTCAGGACAGCCGACCCAATCAGCAACCGAGTAAACCCGCATATAGTCCGTTGGAGATAGAGAGATGGAGATGCCGTGTGAGGGTGTGCCGTTGAGGTACCGTAAAACCCATTTCATTGTCGTGACATGTGGCGTACGTGGGTCATGGAGAAAGAGATAAAGCTGCTGGACAGCATATGTGATGTTAGGACGGGTTAAAGTGAGGTACTCCAATGCTCCTACATACAATCAAGCGGTACAAGGTAGGGTCCTGCGCTGGGGGTATTGCTGAGGCCGACAGCTTCCCACATGTATCAACAGGGGTAGCTAGACACTGGTTTGCATAAGAGCATACCTGCACGCTCAAGTAAGTCATAGATAAACTGAGTCTGTGTAAGAAATAATCCATGAGACGTGCGCTGAACATTGATCCCTAAGAAGAAGTGAAGGTCCCCCATGTCTGTCATAGCAAACTCTTCCTTCAGATGCTGTATGATATTCTGAAGGGGACTCTGTGAGGAAGCTCTGAGAATGATGTCATCCATGTACAGAAGTAAGACACCATCTGTGACCCCTGACCATAATTGAACAATGAGGTTTCGCTCTTGGAACCGCGGAAGCCAAGGGAGATCGAGAAGGAACCTGTGAATAACTGATACTAAGACCAGAACGCTTGTTTCATCAGACCATAGAACGCCTTATTCAGTTTGCAGACATAGTGAGGTCGAGTAGGATCTTGAAAGCCAGATGGTTGGGTCGTGTAGACAGTTTCGGTGAGAGATCCATGAAGAAAGGCGTTCTTGACATCCAACTGTTGGATTTGCCACCCACGAGACACGGCCAGACTGAGTATGATATTAATGGTTGCGAGCTTGACCACCGGGCTGAACGTCTCATCACAATCAATGCCATGGCGCTGATTGAACCCAATAACAACCCATCGAGCTTTATACCTAGATAGTTTACCTGTGGGGCTGAGTTTGTGTCTAAAAATCCATTTGTTAGAGACAACATTTTCGTTAGGGGAGGGTGGTACTAAATCCCATGTATTATTGGCAATCAAAGCATTATATTCATCCTGCATAGCATTGTACTAGTTAAGATCTTTGAGTATTCATCCTGCATAGCATATGTCTACCCTTACGTTAATCCCTGGTCTGCTAATCTCCCACCCGGGCTTTTCTTAGCCCGAGCTCTCCTGTTCCCGCAGACTCAATCCCCTTGGATGCTGAGTCTGGCCCAGTCCAGATTGAGGATGGACAAGCCCAGGCTAATTGGGTAGTCTTGCTTAGGGATGAGGTCACGCTGGGTATCTTTTAGATCGATGAATCCCGCACTTACAACTTTCCAAAAATGCTTTAAGCAACCTCCGTGGAGACTTGTCCGTAGCTAATTAATACATAGTAATTAACAAGAGGCTCACTATTTATAGCTTTAGCAAAAATGTGAGGGAGAGACCTAAATGGTGACACTATTTTGATACCATTTTGATTGCATACATTATACAGACAGAGACACATAGCCTTACTTTACAAGGCCTACCCTAAATTTCATAGAATCAAGACCCTAGGATATTTCGTGGGCGATAAAGAGAGAAGAGTGCGAGAGAATGGGAATCAGCCACTTTAGATATTCATTTTCAACAAAGCAAAATTGTAACTTTGGCTTTTCTTTTTAGGTTGTGGAAATGGAGTAATTTATGGTCTGCCTCTGTTGCAAAACACGTACCCCTAATCTCATGCATTATTAAGCAAGTAAAATATCAGTGGGAATAAATTAATAAAATTAGTGTCTTAGAGCACTGGTCTTGAAGCCCCGAGGTTTCAAACTTCATCTCTCTACCACGTGAGCTTTAACTTACCTCACTAATTCCATGGAAATGAGTTTGAAATCTCAGGGCTTCAAACAGGGACTTCAAACTTTCATTTTTTTACATTTTAAATACACATATTCTAAAATTGAATTAATAAAATTTAATTATTTAATTTTATTCATTAACAAAATTACATTCATGAACAACAAATATATTCATTAATTTAAAAAAATTACATTCATTTATTTAAAAAAATTACATTCATTAATTAAAAAAATTACATTCATTAATAAAAAAATTACATTCATTAGAAAAAAAATAAACGGTGCGATAACTAGAAAGGGGGGCAGTGGGGGGGAGGGGGCTCCAGCGGCCAATTTTTGGCCTACAATTTGCGTCAAAAGTTTGACGCGGTAAAAATAACGGTGCTATAACGGAAAAGGGAGATTGTGCTTAATACCTCATGCGTTAAAATCAACTTAAAGCCGATGGGCGAGCGTTAGTGGAACGAGGAAGAGGTTGGTTTAATTACTGTGAAACAAAGGTGATTAAGATTGATTGGTAACGTAGTTTATAGCCACGTTAATATCTCTGTTTGTGGTATATACTGTGCTGGGCGAATCTTCTATTAAACCTGATGGTGTAAATATAGCTGGGTGCGTTAACCGGGTTTGACCTGGACACACTCGACCCGTAATATAAAACACACAACAAGAACATAAAGTATGACCTGGACCGGGTAAATCTCCTCAGTCCGAATTATATTTCTTACTCTCTCTCAAGAGTGAACTTTAGTGAGAGAAAAATTGGATCCCCCTCCTCTATCAAATATCATCATATTTATAGAGGAGGATTTGTGACCCTCCCATGTTCATCCATGGACAAATAGGAAGCTCGTGGGAAGGTCACTGTAGATAATGGAAGCACTGTACAATCATAGAATTTAGCAACTATAAGCCAAGACATGTACTGTTCAATCAAAGACTATAGATGGATATTCTCAATCCAATCAGCCCTGCAAAGTAACAAACATCCCTTTCACTGTTTGTCTTGTGATGGACGAACGGCGGGGTGGTCCCTCGATCTTTGACGTGGTTCACCATGCCTGAGATACTGGACCAATGTTTGTCAAGTAAGATGATATGACCGGTCACCTTTTTTCTCAAAGGTTGACCGGTCATTTCTTGAGCTCAACCCGTTTCTTTGGTCTTCTTGAATTCTTCACAACATTAGGTGATATTTTGGCTATCGCCAAAATTGTGACCGGTCACTTTTTTAGTGGAAGTGACCGGTCAACTTTTGACCCGTCCCAATCGAAGAATTAACCACATTTGGTGATTGATAAAAGTGACCGGTCATATTTGACCTGTCCCTTTCGGTTATCCGGGTCGGGTATAGGGATATACCCATCAAAACCGTTGTGAAGTTTCTAATCTTATGAGAGTAATTTCTTTAAAGCGTTGTACGTTGTGCGTAACCTGTTTTTTTATTTAGAAAAACATAGTTAAATGTTTTTAAAAATTAGAAAAAATTTAAAGATTTTATGATGAGTTTATAAAATTGCAAATAGTTGAAAGAAACTCGAAAAAATTGACAAAAATATTAGAGAAGTCGAAAAATTAAACTACAGAGAATTTGAAATGAACTGGGTGTTAAAGCATCTCCAATCATAGCATTATTTTAGCTTGCTAAAAGTTATAATAATGTAGCTAGCTAAACCCTATGGTTCTTCTCCAAAGGGTATACTTTATTTTATTTTAGTAAGTTTGCCAAAAAATGACTTTGTCTTGCTAAATATAACAAGTCCCTCAAACTTTAGCAAGCCAATTCTTAAAAAATGAAATAGCAAATTACGGTTGGAGAATGAAACAAAAAGTGCTTGCTATATCACTATTCACTTGCTATAATGTAAAAATAGCAAATCCATGTAAAAGAAAGCAGTTGGGAAGTTTTTGAAAAAAGAAAGATGGTGAAATGAAAATTAGTATGTTTTGAAAATTAATATTTTTACTTAATATACTCATTTACTTTTATTGTAATAAAAGTCTGATGGGCTAAATATAGCATGGGGGACACACGCCGCGCGATTTATGTGCATTTGCATAAGAGACCCAAAACATAAGTCTAATAGTCTCTTCTCCTATTGCCAGTTAATATTATGATAAAACATACCCCTACACGCTTATTTGTTGAGCCTACCGTGCAAATGCGACGAATCAACGTGTGGCCCCCCATGCTAGCTTTCACCCACCACACTTTTATCATGGTGTCAAAACAAGTTCATTTAGGGGTGGACACGGTACCGGTACAGTACCGGTACCGGAAACGGAACCGCCGGTTCCGGTACCGTTACCGTCGGCGGTACGGTCCACCGGTTCCGGGAACCGGTACCGGTACCGCCCAATCCGGTACCGGTTCCGGTGCCCATTTTTCGGTACCGGCACCGGCGGTTCCGGTTCCGGTATCGTTATTATTATTATTATTATTATTTTATTTCATTCTTTCCTTTATCAATTTCATTTTTAGATTTTTTTATTTCATCATTTCCTTTAACAATTACACATTTACAATTTTACATTTTAAAAATATAATAAAAAAGCAAAAAAAAAACAAAATTAGGGGTGGCCGAAACGGTACCGGAACCGGCGGTTCCGGAACCGGAACCGGAACCGGCGGTTCCGGAACCGGAACCGGCGGTTCCGGAACCGGAACCGGCGGTTCCGGAACCGGAACCGTACCGTGTCCACCCCCTAGGTTCATTTGTTCTCAGGTTTAATTATTGGTCTATTGGGCTGGTCGGTCATAATTAAAAGGCAAGAGAAAAATGTCAAGCGCAATTGGCTAAAATTATGGGGCTAGGCAGTTGCACTTATAGAGTCTCCCACACCGAAAAGAAACAAAAAAAATACTCAACACATAAATCGAATGTCTCTCCTTTAATCGTCTATTGATTTTAGGATAGAACCTCATGAGCATCTGCGTTGGGCTTACTAATCGAATCGCCGTGTATCCTCCAATCTCTGGAAAATGGGGTACAAATAGCGAGCTAAAATACATTATCATTACCAAATGTGGTCATATAGATTACCAAAAAGTATAATAATATGCAAGTGTATAGTACCACATTACCTCTACATTACCACAATGTGAACTCCTATTTTGAAAATAAAAACATCTAAGTTCTATTTTGGTACATATTTTATATGTTTTAATCTTATTTAAGGTGATTTCTATAACTGAAATGGAGAAATGAATATAATTTGATAATATGCAAGTGTATAGTACCAAGTGTATAGTACTAAAAACATCATGTAGATTACCAAAAAGTATAATAATATGCAAGTGTATAGTACCACATTACCTCTACATTACCACAATGTGAACTCCTATTTTGAAAATAAAAACATCTAAGTTCTATTTTGGTACATATTTTATATGTTTTAGTCTTATTTAAGGTGATTTCTATAACTGAAATGGAGAAATGAATATAATTTGATAATGTAAATGGTAAACAGAAAATTTAATTTAGAACAAAGGAAATATATTTTCTAATATTAACACCGTTGATATTCAATTTTTTGTTTCTTAACTTTTACGCCATTAACCCATGTTCTAAAAGTATTGGATAGAGAAAGCAACATTCTTTATTAATATTAGTGGGAAGAAAAAATTTACATGGATTATTACATGCCAGAAATGATTTTGGCAACTTTAGGATAATTTAAGTATTCTAATAATAGAAGATAATATTTGAATACTCTCTCAACATCTCTATAAAGAGAGAGCATAAATGATAAATGATAAATGTATTATAAAGACGTTTCTTATACTTCCATACACAGAAATTCCAACACTACTTCATGGAGTATTATTAGACGACGCATGGCACGTGATTTACATAAAACACAAAAAAAAAACAAAACAAAAAAGTAGGAGTAATTAAAAAAAAGTTAAATTTTGGTTGGAGACGCAATCCTGAATTGGTGGGTGGGTAAAGACTAAAGAATGAAAATGACTGAAATGAAACGAACGTTTGTGGCATTGTCACATTTTCAGCTTGCTTTTACATTTTTTATTACTGTAATACCCCGGGCATTTCTTAAAATCTTTCCTCTTTCATTTTTTTGTTTTTCTTAAAACACTTTCCCTTTCTATTAAAAAACCACTTTTACCCCTACTTTTTCATATCCTACCTATCACATCATACTTTTTCACTAACAACTAAACTATCACATCTTACTTTTACCCATCACATCAACGGCAAAATTAGAAAGTCAACTAGAATTTAACACTTCCTTATTTTCCCGTAAAGTTAAAAGAGGAACTCTTTTGAGAAACAGAGGTATTAAAATTTAGTGGAGTACTTCTTTTCCGATTTTTATAAGTTAATTCTCCGTATAAGAAAAGAATATGGACCCCATCTTATTTACCCCTCGGACCTCGGTAAGGCCACGGCCCACGCGGGGTGGGCTCGGGATTTCTTTCCGCATCTGAGGTGGAGACCGGTCCCGACAGAGAATACGGCTCCCACCCCCTTCTCTACCCTTTCAGTGTTCGGCGTGGGAGTAACACAGATCCAATATCTTTTCCTTTTTTTCATCTCTCTTTTTCTTCTTCTTCTCCTCCTCACCGGCCTTCATCTTTTTTCTCTTTGAGATCTCACCTTCTTCTTAGATTCAATTTTTAATTTTTAAACTTTTTAGTAAAATTTTAAAACTTAAATAAAATTTTACTCCGATAAAAGTATAATTTAAAAACAAAAATTCAAAAAAGAATAAGGATCGAATGGGGATCAAGCCGACAATGCCACTGATGTGACGTGATGTCGTCTTCTGGGCGTGTACCACCAGTGGAGTCTTGGCTAAGTCGGATGGAGGACGAACGCAAAGAGGAACGATATGCTTGGTTATATCAACCGCCGTTCCCACCAAACCTGCCAGCCCCCCTACCGACATCCGTGCGCCTGCATCCTCGCCCACACTGGTTACTGCCACCGCGGCTGTTTGTGCTAAAGCAGTGGCAGTGGCAGTACAAGAAGGCCCAAGCTGCAGCTTTTGTTTAATTTGAATATTCATTATTCCTTAGAGTGACGACGGTGAGGATGCCTGATTGAACATGAGTTGAGCAATTAGTATGAATATTTAGTTTGAAGGATGCATATTTTGAGGGAAGACTGTGTTCGCAGAACACTGAGGAGGATGATATGGAACACGATCACGTGCAAGAGAAAGGCTTGTGAGTTACTTAATAGTTATTACCACGTTTATAATTCTATTAGATAACACAAACAAAACAATATAAAATTATTATACGAATAAGCCAAGCTAGCGTTCCATGTGGGAAAAACAAGAACACAAAAAATGCACCATTCCAAACCAACATAATTATCATATAAAAAAAATGATAGCTGATAAAAAGGCCGGATTCTGTGGGTATGACACAATTTATATTTTCTTTAAAATGAACAAGAGAAATTGGTAAACAAGAATGAGTAAAATTGCGACCATAATTTGTTGACCAAAGGAAACACTAGTTATTTCTTTTTCTTGATCTCTTACTTCATCACCTAGTGGAGAGTACAAAATAGCCATTGAAATACAGCCCAACTGTTCTTCTTGAAAGACTGCCCTCCCTGTTACATGTTTATACCTTCCACCACTCCTTGCCTGCAGTTTAATAAAAACATACACTATATATTGAGACTACATGCAGTATTTTTAATATTTTTTTTCTTACACTATTTTAATAGATTCTGAAAATAATGACGAGTAATAAACATACCTGCAACCTGTCGCCAACGGTAAAAACGATGGAGTTTTCGCGGGGGTGGAAGGAGACCCACTGTTTCTTGGAGTAAACATTGAAGCTGGAAGACCCATTGGCGAAATGGGCACACAAGTGGTGAGGGAATTCACACCCTCTGATCAAAAACCGAATCATATCATATTCACTACAGCTGTTGTTCCCAATGTGCCATTGCTTGTGGAGATAGCATACATTGCCGCCTCCCCTTTCTCCTTCTTCTTCTTCATCTTCTTCTTCTTGGAATGCTTTCCTTCTTCTGCTGCTGCTGCTGCTGGGAATATTCTTCTTATTCTTCTCTAAGACCCCAAGAATCTTCTTGGATATGTCTCTAACATCACCCAATAGCTTCTCCATTTCTTCTCTGAATTTTGATTAATACATTATGCGAATTGGGTCCGGAATAATTTTTAACTGTGCAAAATTAATGTTTACAAAACATAGAAGCACTCTACTATGAACAAATGGGCGCGCAATCTTGAGGCTAAGCAATACTAAATGAGTTATCAAAAACACTAAGGTCTTGTTTGAGATTGTGTTTTTCAAGGGGCGGATCTACTCCCATGTACATGGGTCCCGATTAACACATCTATGATGCTCCGTTCGAAAAATTGATGCTTCCTACCTCCTAACTCCTCCGATAAACCCCTCACCCTCGGCTGGGCCCAAACATACTCCCGCACACCCGTCAATTGCATGCCACATTATCTGAGATAAATTTCTGAAGTCCTTAAAGTTTGTGGTAATATACTCCGCGGGTACATTCCATCTATTTGGCCGTTAGGATTAAAAGTTTTATTACTTGAAGAATACTAAATTTTACCTTGATAATCATGAATTTATTAAATTTTAATAATATGTTTCAATTTATTGTCAAAGTAAAGAAACTTTCAGTCATAACGTCTAAATAGACATAATGTAATCTCGGAGTATAACATCAAAAAGTTTAAGGGTCCTTGAGTATATTTCGAATAATGTGGATTTGAGAGCTCATATCTGAAAATAGAGGATACCTTGGAGTACGTTTCAAATAATATGGAACTTGAAAGTTCTTATCAGAAAATCGAGGATACCTTAAAGTCATTTTCTCAATATAACTAGTTTCGGTAGTATACAATAATTATAAGTCAGTTCTTTTCTACTTAAGTTTAGCTACTTAAATATAATTAAGATTTTGTTCTAATTTTATATCTAAAAGGTGTTAAAATGAAATAAACAAATTGTGTAGAACTACATCCAATTCAAATTAGAAGTATACATAAATAGAATGTCATTTTATAATATTGAGCAATGTTAGAGTCACAAATAGAGTAATCAGAAATTTCACAAATTTCAAATTGAAAGAGAAAGTTGTTCTTATTAACTTCTTACCCTCTAAATTTCTTGCAAATTGTCGAAATGAAGAGAAAGGTCAAGGGCTTAGAGGTTATTAGGGATAGGAAATACTCTCAACTAGGGGTGAGTAAGTATCAAATCAATCCCGAAATTTCCCAAAAAATTCGAGATTACTGAACCAAAAAATACTAAAGTGATAAAATACCAGAAAAGGAACGTATTGTACCGAATCGAATGGTCGATCCGATATTTGGGACCGGTACGAGGTAACTTCTCATACCGAAAAACTCCCAAACCGAACATATATACAAATATGTTATAAAAATAATAATGTTTTTATATTTCTTCACTAACAAATAAATTGATTTTGAAAAATTGGTTCAAGTGTAGATGAATTACAAATCTTTTATTTTAATAGTCATTTATTTCAATTTTAATTTTTTGTAGATGAATATAAAAAATCAACAAACATTTGAAATACTATTTAATTATCATTCATTCTCTTTTGTTTGTGAAATACGAAGTATAAATTAAACTAAGTTTTATAAGTATTTCTTGCATTTAATTATTCATTTTTCAATTGTTTATCTTTCTTTATTTGAATGTACTTTCAATTTTTTAAGTAAATAGTTTTGTACATTTCAAAGTGTAAAACTAGGTACGTATATATATTCATTCATTCCAATATTTACCGAAACCGGACCATCTTGAATCGATATTTCGGAACCAAAATCAGTACGATATAAAATAACATACCGAACCGAAATGTTTGATAGGACATCAATACGAACCAAATACCGTACCACATTCACCCCTACCCTCAACTCTTTCGGAGTAGGATGTCAATGTCATCCGTTAACATTTAAATTGAGTGTCAACTAAAATTCAATGGATGCATAGTATACACAAACAAAACAAGGAAAAATTACCCAAAATAATCCCAACTTTACCCGGTCTTTCAAAAATAATCCCACCTTTCACTGTGATGCATAATAATCCCAACTTTAATGAAATTTGCCAGTTTTGGGTCGCCGTTAAGTTTCTAACGGAGGGTTAACGGAAATGCCCATTTTAGGCAACAAAATGAAAGTTGGGATTATTTTTGATGAATTTTTGTTTTTTAATTTTTTTTTGAAATTTTCATTTAAATTTTTTAAATTACTTTCTACCTCCATCATCATTTCTTTTTCCTTTTTTAAAGATTAGTCTTAGTTTAAAAAATAAAAACAATAGATATAAAAAATGAAAAAATGAGAAATGTAACTAAAATGGTATAAAAATAATAAAATAAATAAGGTAATCAATGGAANTAGGCATTATACAAAGTATTAACATATCACTTCTTATTTTTTAGAAAAAATTATCTACAATAATTTCAACTTTACCGGACGGCTTGTTCTTTTAAAAAATAAGTAGTACATTAAGACTCCGTATAGTGTGTAAAATGTTAAACACACGACTCCATATATATTTATTTTATTTCTTAACAGTTTCTGTTTAATTTCTATTGATTACATTATTTATTTGATTAATTTTGTATGGTTTTAGTTATTTTTCTCATTTTCATTATTTTTTATAACTATTTTTTTTTTCTAAAATAAGAATAATCTTTAAAAAAGAAAAAAAATGGAGGTTGAAAGTAATTCAAAAAATTTAAATAAAAATTTCAAAAAAAATTAAAAAACAAAAATTCATCAGAAATAATCCCAACTTTCATTTTGTTGCCTAAAACGGGCATTTCCGTTATCCCCCCGTTAGAAATTTAACGGCGACCCAAAACTGGCAAATTTCAGAATAGTTGGGATTATTATGCATCACAGTGAAAGGTGGGATTATTTTTGAAAAACCGAGTAAAGTTGGGATTATCTGAGATAAATTTCCAAAGTCCTTAAAGTTTGTGGTAATATACTCCGCGGGTACATTCCATCTATTTGGCTTTCGGATAATGTAGATTTGAGAGCTCATATCCGAAAATAGAGGATACCTTGGAGTACATTTCAAATAATATGGAACTTGGAAGTTCTTATCATAAAATCGAGGATACCTCAAAGTCATTTTCTCAATATAACTAGTTTCGGTAGTATACATTCCGTAACAATTATCACAAGAATACAATAGGGAAATTTACTTATATACTACTAGAACATAGTGAGTTTCTCAATCTAGTATCATATGTTTTTGCTTCCCAATGTTCAATGTCCACTAGACGTTGTTTAACTAAATACTCACTGCCACTAGACATGGTTCAAAATAAATGTCCATAGCTACTGAACATTGTTCCCGCCATTAGATATTATTCAAGTACTATTTATGGAATAAAAGACTATAGGTACTACATTAGGAAAAGACATATGTTTTAGTACTATTTAGTGCAAATTTCATAGTACAATAATTATAAGTCAGCTCTTTTCTACTTAAGTTTAGCTACTTAAATACTCCGTATAATTAAGATTTTGTTCTAATTTTATCTAAAAGGTGTTAAAATGAAATAAACAAATTGTGTAGAACTACATCCAATTCAAATTAGACTCACAAACAGAATAATCACAAATTTCAAATTGAAACTGAAAGTTGTTCTTATTAACTTCTTAGTTCTTACCCTCTAAATTTCTTGCAAATTGTCGAAATGAAGAGAAAGGTCAAGGGCTTAGAGGTTATTAGGGATAGGAACTACTCTCAAGTAGGGGTGAGTAAGTATCAAATCAATCTCGAAATTTCTCAAAAAATTCGAGATTACCGAACCAAAAAATACTAAAGCGATAAAATACCAGAAAAGGAACGTACTGTACCGAATCGAATGGTCGGTCCGATATTTGGGACCGGTACGAGGTAACTTCTCATACCGAAAAATCCCAAACCGAACATATATACAAATATGTTATAAAAATAATAATGTTTTTATATTTCTTCACTAACAAATAAATTGATTTTGAAAAATTGGTTCAAGTGTAGATGAATTACAAATCTTTTATTTAAATAGTCATTTATTCCAATTTTAATTTTTTGTAGATGCATATAAAAAATCAACAAACATTTGAAACACAACTTAATTATCATTCATTCTCTTTTGTTTGTGAAATACGAAGTATAAATTAAACTAAGTTTTATAAGCATTTCTTGCATTTAATTATTCATTTTTCAATTGTTTATCTTTCTTTATTTGAATGTACTTTCAATTTTTTAAGTAAATAGTTTTGTACATTTCAAAGTGTAAAACTAGGTACGTATATATACTCATTCATTCCAATATTTACCGAAACCGAACCATCTTGAATCATACCAAACCGATATTTCGGAACCGAAATCAGTACGATATAAAATAACATACCGAACCGAAATGTTTGATACGACATCAATACGAACCAAATACCGTACCACATTCACCCCTACACTCAACTCTTTCGAAGTAGGATGTCAATGTCATCCGTTAACATTTAAATTGAGTGTCAACTAAAATTCAATGGATGCATAGTATACACAAACAAAACAAAAAGCCCATCAAATTTGACATCAAATGATTTACCTGAAATTTGAAAACTCCATGGGCCAAAACCCCTCCATTTTCTTGATGAAGGCTGGATCATCATTGCACCACACAAACTCTTCGCTCCCATGCGTCTCCCCCTCCTCTCCATCAACCTCCTCAAACCCCCACGGAATCTCCGGCGACCGTGCCGCCTCCGCCTTCACCTCCGGCGGAATCCCGAAAACCCCGTCGCCCGCGGCCAGGACCGACCGGATCAGTTCGCCCGGGATTCCGTGGTTAATGACCACAAAGCAGCCGGCCCTCGCGGCGGAGTCCAGGACGTCGAGCGCGGATTCCGGGCCCATTGATTCCAGGGCCCGGAAGTCGAGCTCCGGCGGGTCCCGGACCAGCTTCCTCCGGGGAAACCCCCGGCCGGGGAGGGCGAGGTTGGGGACTCTGAGGGAGCTCTGGAGGAACTGGGTCAGTTCTTGGTCGTTGGCGATGCCGGAGCGGCGGCCGTGGGCTATGGGAGAGGGCGGAGGTGCCCGGAAATGGTGGTCAGGGCGGCCGGGGGCTGCGGGAGAAGGCGGAGGTGCCCGGAAACGGTGCTCGGGGTGGAATGATCCCGGCGTGACGGCCATTATTACTCCTTGGAATCTTGATTCTCCGTTGCCGTCTCGGCCCTTACTTGAGAGTTGTTAATGGAACATTGGAATACTAAAAGTTTGAAGGAAATAAAAAAGGTAAAGAAAGACAGAAATGGGGTTGATGATGGGAATAAGGGAGCAGTAATGATGGGAATGTCATGAGAAAAAAAATAAGGACCATGCTACACATCCCACCCTTGCTACCAATCTTGTCTCCACCCACTTCTCTATTACATATTTATCTCTAATTATTCTCCACTCACTCTCTAATTTTAATTTTCTTGTTTCCCTACCACATGTTTAAGTAGGGGGGCATGGGTGGTAGCAAGGGTGGGGTTTTAGCATTTTCCAAAAAATAATTACATATGAACCTTGAGATTTGAGAAAATATAAGGGAATAAAATTAAACTAAGAATAAAACATTAAAAATATATCAAAATAAGATTTTATGTTTTTATTCTCAAACATGGTCATGTACATTACCAAAAAGACTTAGGAATTAAAATATATTTTCATTATCAAACATGGTCATGTACATTACCAAAAAGTATAGCAAGGTGCATATGTACAGTGTCACATTATCACTACATTACCACAGTCCACAGTGCAAACTCCTTTTTCGAGAATAAAAACATAAAAATTTTTATTTTAGTATTTTATTCTATGTTTTAATCCTAGTCAGAGTGATTTCTAAGAAAATAATCATGAGATTTTTATTTTTATTTCATCTAAACAAAGTTTATCATATACTCCACATACTTAATATTTTTTACTCCTCCGTTCTATTTTAAGTTGCATGTTGTTATTTACGATGTTTGACTGAGTTATTTTCAAATTAATTTATATAAAATTGAGGTAAAATTAAAAAATAAAATTTACAAATTTAAAAACGACAAAGATCTACAAAACAAGAGAAGATATGACAATTATTTTATCATTTGAGTAAGGAAAATAAGGAAAGTAATTACTCCATACAATTTAACTTTGTGAATAATATACCGACAACTTAAATTGAGGAATAATATTTTGTAAAGTAAAAAGAGTAAAAAGAAACCTTTTTGACTTGGGAATATTGAAGTCTGAAATTGATTTCGTGTAAACTGGACTTAACTAAAAAGCAATGATTAAGAAAACTGGATGAGATCCATCGATTCAACGAGGAACCAGATGGCGTGATTCAGACACAAAAACCGATCACCCTTCCTTCAAAGTCCAAACCGGTTCAATGAGCTGGACAGGCCGGTTTGGTTAGGTGTTTTTCACTCAATTTCTTAGTTTTGTTTTTAACACTTCAACTATCAACCCATTCCACCTTCTTTTTACCTTTATCTTTTGTATCTATGCTTTACATATGTCATTTTCTTTTTTCCTTTCTTTTTTATACTTTATGACATTTCTTCTACTTGCTGAATGTTGTTATTCATACCCCAAATTTGACACCATGGATGACAACCGTTTGTGAATTTTATTCACACACACGGTATAACACAAGGACTTGTAGTGTCAGTGTGAACAAATTCATAAGATGGTTGTCATCCGTAGCGTGATTATAGTAGCATTTTCCAAAATAATGAAGTCCAACAAGAAAAGTCATAACAAAAATGGAGCTGTCACAAGGAACAGTTAAAGCTTTATCAACATCTCCAGCAGCAACAGCTGAACTAAAGAGCACTTCATGGCTGGTCCAATGCATGTGTCCTTTATAGATAGGCGGTCTCGAGAAAATGGAAAATTCTGGTTTTCCTCAACGGGACAACAGCCGAAGAACGAATCCGTTGGAGATTATAGCTCAGATGGGTACTAGAAAACAACATTTTAAGTTTAGGATCTCTTCGGACTTCTAGTTAATGCGTGCGGCACACTTGAGAATTACCTCTCAGCTAATCCTTTCTTTTGGTTGGCCTGCAACATATCTTGTGACTCTCTACTTTGTCCTGCCAGCATCCAAAAATACTACCATGTTCATATTATGAATTTAGATCCCATCTCAAAACATCAATTTATATCTCGTAAATGGCATACAACAGACCTAGGGATCTCGTAAATGGCTCAAAATTTGGTGAATTTAATAGGGGCCCAAAAACACGTTTCAGTGATTGAGGGAGTATGAATGAGTATAGTTCCTCCGTCGGGATTTTTCAGTCCACTTTTCCTTTTAAGCATTCGGGATTAAGGCTCAAACTAGCTCCTAAAGAGTGCATTAGCAATGGTAATGTTATCATCCATGGAGGACAAGCTTATTTCAAGGATTTCTTTTGTTACTATGTACTTACTCCTTTAATTGGAGTAGATGTTTTTTTTAAGAGTGGACAGTTATATTTTAAGCATTGTGTCATAAAAATGGTTGGACATTAATTCAGTGGAGAAATAGGCTGAGCACCATGAAGGCAACCAGACATAGTCTAAGACTAACACATAGTTATAGTGTTATACAAAAGTCAACCCTCTCCTCCCCTTCAAGTATTCCACAAACAAACGAGCCCTTATGAGCTTACCTCAAAGTTGTCAAAGTCATAGCGAACGAGAAAGATGCACGTGCAGCCAGAGATATCATGTTCTCTTCTTTCTATTTCAACAATGTGTGCGTCACAGTATAAAGCATATGCATAAACTTCGTTTTCCTGGATATGTACATGTCAAATCATTGTCAAGTGTTGAAGACATTTCTATGTGTTCCATTTTAGAGATATGTTACGCATGTATGTACATAATATATACCCTGAAGCATAGTACAAGATCCCCGGGCTCCACTTTCTCACATTCTGAATGAGCTAGGGGGATGGAGCGCTCACGAACTCCCTTTCTAACACTCACCCACTCATCTTGATCGTTCCTGAATCCAGAAAATCTCACACGAACCTCCTGCCAACATCTAACATGATTACTTTTTCTACATAAAAATATATAAATTGACCCCATTCGTGAACACGCCATATGGGGATTAGGTGATAAAAGTTACTGCAAATAGCCTAGTGGAATCCCACTAGTGGAGTCTGAAGAGGGTGGGTGTATGCACACCTTACCCCTAAACTATAAGGTAGAGAGACCCCAACCTCTATTAGGTGACAAAAGTTGAAAAAAGGGAAAGAAGAACAAAAATCTCACAAGGTCGCCCGAATAAGTAACTCGGTAGTTTAAGAATGTAGCAACGTCATACCTGCAAAAAAAGAACAATCAGGTTTGTTTACCGTGAGTTAAATATGGAAAGTCAATGTAAAAAATGTGGTGTGTTTGAAGGTTAGTCGAGGATAAATTTGGTAATAATGCAATCTTGTCATTTTACTTCAGAAAGATTGTTCATAAAGCATTTTTTCCAGCATAATTATTTGTTAAATCTGTTCGAGCTTGTCTTATTTAGAAAGTATTTAGTTCAGCTCCCTGTGTCTAAATTTAGTTGTCCGCTTCCCAGAATACCTCAAATTTATGGAATTGAGCTAAAATAACAAAAAATAACCTTGAAGTTAGATTGCAGTTCATATTTTCACAATAATTATGTGGACAATCGATTCTAGATGCCCCAAAAAGTAAAAGTGAAAAACTAAATTCGGACATTGAGAGTACAATACAAGAATTAAGATATCAAAACATTTACTCCTTCAGTCCCAAAAAAACACTCCACAATTGATTGGGGATGAGTATTAAGAAAAGTGAATTTATGTGGTTGGGAAATATGAAGAGGGAAGAGAAATAATATGAACCTAGCAATTAATTATTTAAAAGGAAAGTGGAACCTGTTTTGGACAAACAAAAACCTTTTTTGGGACAATGGGAGTATAAAAACTCTAAAAACATTATTTATATTTCATCTTTCTATGCATTTTTAGGTAACACTAGGAAATAACTTTCCCTAGCATTTGTTTTCCTTCCCATACTATTTTGCTAGTATTTTTTAAGGTCCAAACATACCCTTAAAAAAAATTCCCTTTGTTGTAGGGATGACATTTGAGAAGTAATGGAAGAAACATGAGAATTTAAAAAAAAAACATAGAAATGCCTTCAAATTTCTAACCAAGCTAAGTCCTTTGCTGAGAGAGCTTCAAAAGCCAGGTCTGAGAGCTCTGCTGCCCTTTCACCTGCAGAGAATTCCATTTGTAAAGTCATCACAAACATATAAATACAAAGCATACATTTCTAAAATATTACTAATATTGAAGTTACCAATGGGATTCTCATATTTTTCAGATGCATATTGTGAAGCTAACTTCCTAATGGAAGAGACAATTTTCTTTGGTCTTCTTTGTACACAACGAGTCGCATTTGTTGTGCTAATGAGAGATAAGAGAGTAGCTTTTTCTTCCAGTCCACTTTGCTTGTTGGTGAACCAAGTTTTAACCTGGAAGATGGTAAGAACTAATTCATCAAACAGAGAACATAGCTACGGCATTGCTGGTAAAGAAAATATTGAGCCATGCGTCAAACAAACCTGTTCCCAAGCTATTACAGATATCCCAGTACGATATGGTGAAGAGCTGAGAGAGATATGTTTTTTAGCCCATAGTACTGCTAAGGTAGAGTTACAAAGCAGATGGATGGCATGAATACCATTGTTGTAACTTTACCTGAACTTTGCAGCAACCTCTTCACAGAACTCCTGATCAAAAGTCTTTACTCCTTTTTCCTTGAACATTCTCTCCATTTCCAAGATCTGTTTGAGCAAGATAAAATATTACCAAGGCCTAATTTGGTAAAACTTATGGTATAAGTGTTTTCCTATTTAAGCGTGTAAAAAGCAACAATCTGCTGCTCCTTCTATATATAAACATTCAAAGAGCTCTTACCGAGGCTTCTCGACCTTACCGAAGATATGACCTTAGATAGGAGCATCTAGAGATCTAGGACTAGAATAGTTTGGCAGTCTTCTAGGTCTCAGTGGTAGTGTTTTGTTTCTATTGTCTTTATGTGCTCTTTGTGCTTGGGGTCTAATGCTAGGTCCGGTGTGTGTGGTACTTGTCTCTATGTGCTTTCTTTACCATTAGTTTGCTCTTTACTATTTGCTTCTACTTTGTTCTCACTTGGTCATGCTTTTGTGTCTTCATTGTTGGTTTACTTTGACTGCATGAGCTGGGGTCTCTCGAAAACAACTTCTCTACTTTTGAGTGCATGTAAGGCTTGCGTACACACATCCTCCTTAGACCATACTTTTTGAGGGATTTTACTGGTTTGTTGTTGTTGTTGTTGAGTTTTCTTTTAAAAGTTAAAGAATTCATTTCATTTTTCCATCCAAATGCTTCTTTTTAAGTAAATATATGTTTTTTCATCTAAAAAACACGTCCCTTGAAAATAATTAATTCCAAAAGCAGTCTAAGACTCTAAGTTATGTATATATTCAATTAAGAACCATTAACAAACTAAGAATCAAAGTCTAGTTCGGATAGATAGTAGATATGATTTTCATCGTTCTCCCATAAAGTACCTACTAGCAAGGCATTTCCACAGTTCTAATTTCTCAATTAATTACAAATATAATTTAAGGGAGTGTTTGGTACCAGTAAAACGATATGGGAAAAACCTAGAGAGAAATATATAAGGTTGTGTTTGGGAACACAGAATTGATTTGAAATTCAGAAATTCAAATCATGAAATTGGAATTCAGAAATTCAAATCATGAAATTGGAATTCAGAAATTCAATTCATGAAATTGAAATTCAGAAATTCAATTCAAGAAATTGAAATTCAAAAATTGAATTCTAATTCCCATTCCAAATACTTGTTTGAGAACTCCAAGAATTAAATTTAAGAATTCATATTTACAGTGGAGAGTGTGTGTGTGAGGTTAAAAGAGAGAAACTAAAGGAAGAAAAAAATAAGGTAGAGAAAGTAGTACATGGAAAAATGACTAAGGTTCGAGAAAGGAGAAAGCTTAAAATTCAAATTCAAGAGAGCTATTTTACTATTGTGTTGGAATTGGCCCAATAAAAATTACAAAATCTTAGGCATCCCAGACATTGGAATTGAGTCAATTCTGGAATTCCAATCCAATTCCTTGTTCCCAAACACACCATGAGATGATGAGAAATTTACAAGGAAAGAAAAAAGGAGGACCAAACTCAATAAATTTATTGTTCAAACTTCTTTATTTGTGTAATTCTATTATGTAAAGACTAAGGATTCAAAAGTCAGAATATATGTAAAAATTTGATAAACATTAATACTATGTTTGGTTCAAGGAATTTAAGAGGAAACAGGAAAAAATTGAGAAGGAAAACAATTTTTCTTGTTTGATTAAAGAGGAAAAGTAAAGGAAAGTAGAAGGAAAGAAAATGAGAATCCAACATGTACTAAGAGTAGGGAAAACCAAATTCCTCCCATTTAGCAAGGAAAATGAGAGAAAATCATTTTCTTTTCCTTCCAAATTCCTTGAATCAAGCATAGTGCAATCATGTTTCAATTGCCTTTGCAATTTCCGTGATAAAACCAAATGCGAGAATGTACTCTCTGTTAGCATTTGTTATCCTTTCCCTAGCATTTCTGGGATACAAACTTGTTATCATTTCCCATTTTAAGCATTTTTATAGGCTAAATTACTTGAATAAGCATTCATAGGGGTGCTTATGAGTTTTACCTCTGCTAATGTGAACTCAGGAAACGCATCCTCTGTGTCAATTTCCATGCAATGCTCCATTTCTCCTCCACGCAGAAAGTGATTACAAACAATGGAAAACGAAATTTGCCAATCTTCCTACAATGATCAAACATAATGATAACGCAACAAAATGGGGGGAAATCTTGCAAATATGCATTACATCTCATTGTAGGGTTTCCCTACCGTGAAATTTTAAGGCAATTCAAAATTCGGCGCTGTAAATTAGCAGAAGATATTATCGGCAAACAATTTCTCGACCGTGAAACTCAAAACAAGCATATACCTTGGCAGCACAGTATTATATTATCCGCAAACCATTTGTGGGCGGATTTCAAGCTGGCAATTCAAAACAAATAGGAGTCAAAGAGAAAGTACCAAAAAAAGAGTTTCATGTTTTTATTCCCCAAATAGGAGTTCGAATGGTGGTAATGTGACAGTGTACATGGGCATTTTACTATACTTTTTTGGTAATGTACATGGTCATGATTGGTAATTTAAATGCATTTTAACTTCTATTTCGAGAATAAAAAATATGGAACTCCTATTTTGGTATATTTTCAATGTTTTACTCTTACTTTAGTCTTTTTCCCTAATACTTTTGCCTTTGTCTGTCTTGAGGAGATATTATCTCTTTTCAGAGTGGCACAGAAGTTCTTCCAGCACAGTTATCCACCGTTTGCGAAGGTGTTTGAGGGTGGCTCTATTGCAGAGCTGCGGCCACAATTTGTAATTTTTCTAGTTGCGGGGTAACCCGTGACAAGATTTACTAGTACTATCCGTTACATAGATACTTTTGCAAGTAAGGGTCAGTTCGCCCGGTCCATTCAGTTACCAATACTATCTAAGGGTCGGATAGTACATGCAAATAACGTAATGGATAGTACTATCCGACTCTTATTTGCATAGGTATGCACGTAACGGATAGCACTAGAAAATCTTGCCATGGGCTACCCCGCAACTAAAAAAATTATAAATTGTGGCCGCAGCTCTGCAAAAGAACCACCCTCAAACACCTCCCCAAATGGCTGATAACTGCACCGGAAAGAACTTCTGTCCACTCTAAAGATAATATTTACTATTTACTCAAGACAGACATGGGCAAAGGTATAATCATGTTGTCGTATGTTTATTGTAACTTTGTTTTGAATTGCCAGCTTGAAATCCGCCCGCAAATGGTTTGGGGAATAATAAAATAATGTAATATTGTTGACAAATGATGCAAAAAGCCAAAAATCGAGAGAAATTGATTACAGAAATGGAACAATGTTGAATTTTTTTTTACAGTGACTAATGTTGAAATTGAATAGGGGCGATTATAGAAATTGAATAATATTGAAATAAATACCTTCAGATTCGAGAAACTGAGTGACGAGAGTGGAGAGAGAGAGACAATTACAGTGATTGACGAGAATGGGACGCTGGGCACTGACGACTAGAAGACTAGGTCGTTGGGCGACGACTAACGCCGGTGGCTGAAGCTGGAAGATTGGGGCGCTGGGTGAAGAACCTATAATTAGGGGGTTGGGAAAATAAAAAACTGCAAACCGAACCGAAATCGATCGAAACGAGATAGAAAAAAAATTGAATTGAAAAAACCGAAACCAAATGTAAAAAAAGTTAACTGAATCGTTAGTGTTTTGTTCCGTTTTGATTTTCACTTTGAAAAATCGAACCGAACCAAACAAACCAAACTTTTTTAGATAAATCACTTTATTTATATTAGTATATGTGATATGTAGGAAATCATAGAAATATAAATGCAAATAAATTACTAGTCGATTAAAATTATTTTCTTAACTATTAGTTAAATGTTTTAGCCATATTATTATAAACTTTAAAAAATCTAAAATTTTAAACTGTAGAATTATATTAACATTAAAAATTGATACGAGTAATTTATATACTTAAATAAAAAAGGCTTTGTTGTTATAATGAAAATGAAAGTATTATACCAAAAACACAAATTCTTCGTAATTGATTTTACATATGATGTCTTTAAAAGTGTTTTGAATCTCCTAAATAGTTGTCGGGCACTCAACACATATTTTTTTTATATAAAACTGAACCTAACGGAACAATAACCTTCCATTTGGCTTTTCATGTAATTTTTTGATATGTAATTTTTAATTTTTATTTCTTTACCAATATGTAAATAAAATAAATTGAAAAAACTTAATATTTTGTCTTGGAAATAGAAATGTGACAAATAATTTGGGACGGAGGGAGTATATACCTTAAGATAGGCATGCTAGTGTCCCGCCCGTCCATTTTCCAAGAGTATTGGGTAGTACTCCATCCGTCTTAAAATTAACTTCTTATTTGACTTTTCACGGTCTCTAATGCGACACTCTGACCATCAATATCTCAATTTTTATATAAATATATTTTATAAAAATTATATATTTCAAAACTATGTTTCAAAATGAATCCATTGCTAATAAATTTATATGAAAATTCAATGTATTTTTTCCGTAATATACGGTCAAAAATTAAAAAGTTTAACTACAAAAGTCAAACTGGAAAGTTAATTTTAAGACGGATGGGGTATTAGATTATAAGTCTTTGTAATATGCTCTCAATTTTAGTTTTACACTTTTCATTTGACCATGTAATGTGTCACCTACTTAAAGCTACTATACTAATAAAGCTACGTTTTTGTTTAATTTTGTTCATTTTTAGAGGGGTTGGATTTCTTTTTTTTAATAGTCTTTTTTCATTGTAAAATTGATATTGATAAGACTTCCATTTTATTTGACGTGTTTTTCCTTGATTTTGACTTCCGTTTTACTTGATGCTATTTTTCTTAATATAATTTTTGGGCCTGAAAGCCCAGTGCGCAGCACAGTCCCTGATTTCCACCTCGAAACACTGGTAATACTCTGAACGCAGGAGTTTTTTTCTGATTTAAACACCCCGGCGTTAAACACCGCCCCCTCCCCCGTAAAGCCACTGTCATCTTCCTTATGTCAAAAGTTTGACGCACGTTGGAATTCATTTTTGGCTGTTGGAACCCCCCCCCCCCCCACAACACACACACAACGGTTATAACGTCGTTGGCATTTTTAAAAAAAAATCATCTCCTCTATAAATTTGATCTATTTTTTAAAAATTCAATACACACCACAAATACAATCTCTCTCTCCTCTTTCTTAAAAAATTATTCAAATAATTGTTTTTATTTCTAACAGGAATTCCTTCAGTTTTAATCTTTCTTCGTCCCGTCTCGAGCCAAACGAGGAAGCGATGTGGATTTTTCAATCATACGCCGGTAATTTGTCGATGTATGATACACAAACCTCGGTGAATATCCAGGACCCGGAGTCGGTTCCGAAGACTCAACCAGAACCAAGTGCACCAGAAAAAAATGGACGCCGAAAGAGCCAAAAACCAAAGGGCGACAAGTAGATGACTGAGGCGGCATGGTCCACTCAAAAGTGGACACCGAAAGAAGAATCTTAGTTGGCGTCTACTTGGGTTGACATCTTCGAGCATCCTATCGTTAGTAAAATTTATATTATATATATATATATACACACACACACACATATACATATATATATAGGGATTGACTCTAGTGAGATGACATGCTTCGGTCAGATGACACAAAGCTCACCATTGGTCACTGCAAAGCTCACCAATGGCCAATGTAAAGCTCACCAAAGTGTAAGGCAAAGCTCACCATATGTTTTCAACACTTTGAATTTTTTTCCAAAAAATAAAAAAGATCACCACATTACACTGCAAAGCTCACCAATGGCCAATGCAAAACTCACCTGGAACTAAGGCAAAGCTCACCACTTTGAATACCAAAACTCACCTTTTTTTATTTTGAAAATTAAAAAATTAATAAAAAATAAAATAGCAACACCGGTCAACCACCAGTCAGTGGGGGCGGCGCGGCGGAGACCGGCGGGGGCGGGGGCGGCGGCGGCGGCGGCGGCGGAGGTCGGCGAAGGCGACGGAGGTCACCGGCGGCGGCGGCGGAGGTCGGCGGACGGCGGCGGCGGAGATCGGTGGCGGCCGGAGGCGGAG